CACCTATCACAAAGCTAACAGAGGGAAAATTCTTAGGAATCCACCTTTAATAGACTCAAATTTCATACACATATACAACAAATTTCTAAAAAAAATTCCCAAAACTGTAGGCATACTATCGAAGATACGGTACTATGCTCCACAGTCAGCCCTCCTGGCCCTATATCACACTCTTATTTACCCCTATCTCACCTATGGAATTTTGTTTCATGGGGCTCAACAACAATTAACCATCTCAGACCACTAATTACCACAAAAAAGGGTTTCAGTTAGAATGATAACAAATTCTCACTACAGGCAGCACACTCCACCAATATTCAATACACTAAACCTACTCACCATACAAAACATCCATACTTATTACTGCCCTATTACATACATAGAACACTTAAACTCTGATATTAACCTCCCCTCAAACATCTCCTTGCCAACCTCAACAGAACACATGACCATAACACAAGGCACAGATCACTCTTTGATGTTCCTCGTGTCCATCTCACACTATGCAAAAACTCAATGCACATAAAAGGCCCTAAAATCTGGAATTCATTACCTGTAAATATAAAAGAAACACTATCTGTTTATAAATTCAAGTCTCTTCTCAAAGATCACTTACTCACCCAAAAGAAAATAAATACTGAATAACTGAACCTTATAAATTGTATATCTTAAATGTTTCTCACAATTATATCACATAAATGTTAAACCTAAAACCCAATCTAACTTTGCTATTTTTTAAATACACTACCTAACAGAATTCTCCATACCTGGAGTTTACCTGGAGAGAGTTCCGGGGGTCAACGCCCCCGCGGCCCGGTCTGAGACCAGGCCTCCTGGTGGATCAGAGCCTGATCAACCAGGCTGTTGCTGCTGGCTGCACGCAAACCAACATACGAGCCACAGCCCGGCTGATCCGGAACTGACTTTAGGTGCTTGTCCAGTGCAACCATATGACCTGTCTTTGTAATACTCACTTGTGCTTTATAGTAATCTGTTTACATTAATGTTTTATCACTGATTTCATCATTGCTTAGTTAATCTTAAGTTAATTTTAAGCCAGCCTGTAATGCTATGCATAGTATAAGTGGCTTTGGCATGCTGCTCTTATCTGTATTTTTTGTACCTCTGTATGTGTGCTCAAATTGTAAATAAATAAAAAAAAATAAATAAATAGGGTTGTGGATGAGTGGAACAAACTCCTAAGTAGCATCACTGAAGCTAAAACTTTGTGTAGCTTTAAAAATAGGTTAGATGAGAATATGAGTGGGTGTGACTTGGAGCTCACTAGCATGGGCCAGTAGGCCTGCTGCAGTGCTCCTCCTTTCTTATGTTAACACAGTTTTCTAGTATACCTGAAGTAGGTGGTCAGATTTCAAGTCCCTACTACAATGCAATAGAGGAGCAAAACAGGTTGCTTGACCAGATAAAGAACATAGCATAAACCAGATTATAGAGCTAAAGTGTAGCTACCTAATAAAAGAAGCTCAGAAAGAGAGCAAAGTGATTTCTTGTATAGCTAGTTAATATTCACATAAATGTGTAATCTATTTTTTCTTTTAAAACTTGGGATTCATTTTCATGTACAGTGGACCCCCGGTTAACGATATTTTTTCATTCCAGAAGTATGTTCACGTGCCAGTACTGACCGAATTTGTTCCCATAAGGAATACTGTGAAGTAGATTAGTCCATTTCAGACCCCCAAACATACATGTACAAACGCACTTACATAAATACACTTACATAATTGGTCGCATTGGGAGGTGATCGTGAAGCGGGGGTCCACTGTATTTGATAAACTCAAGTTTTATTTCATTTCAATTGCAATTAATTTTCATTATTTTTTTATACATTTGGTTTATTCAATTTCTTATATTTTTATTGTACTTTATTTTCATATATGTGATTCACTTAGTTTATTTTGTTTTTAGTAGTGCTAATAATTATGAATGATTTTACTGTTACCTAATAGCTGACACTACAAGGACCTTAAAAGAAATAAGTTACTGCTTGACCATTTTTTTAAAGCCTAGGTAATTTACACATACAGTGGAACCTCGGTATGCAACATTAATTCATTCCAGAAGGCTGTTCGAGTACCGCTCCGTTTGAGTATTGAACAAGTGCTTCCCAACCAATTTTCTGTTTGGCTGGCTGTTATCACTAATCATAGGCCCCATGGTGACTTATTTATACAAATACCAAAAAATATGAAGAAACATGAAATAGTTTACAGCGAAGTTCTGGCAGGTAGTATTTGTTTGCTCGAGTACCGAGCTTTGTTTGAGTAGGGAGCTGGTCATATACCGACGTTAACCCTTTCAGGGTTGGCAGGCCCTCTCCTAAACTTGTTCTCAGGGTCGGAAATTTTTTGAAAAAAAAAAAAAAAAAAAAAAAAATTAATTATTTTTTCTTATGAAATGAGAGAGAATCTTTTCCTGATCATAATGACACCAAAAGTATGAAATTTGATGGAAAACTTACGGAATTATGCTCTCGTTAAGTTAGCGGTCTCGATGATGTTTACGCATTGGCGATTTTGCCAACTTTGAGCCTTATTATCGGTCAATTCCATGTACCAGTCGACAAAAATTATACCTATTTTGCTAGAACTCCATTTTGTCTATCGAACGAGTACAATAAACCACCCATTTACCAATTTCAAACCAATAACTTGGTCAGAAATTGGCAATTTTGCCAATTTCACACAAATTTCAGAAGATGCCAATTTCCAAACAGGGTCCAGAATAAACAAGACAGACATTCCTGGTACTAAAATAATATTTCCTCTGTTGATTACTCACATCCCCAGGCCTCTGCTACAATTCTTTTGCTTTCCACTTTGAATTTTTATTCTCACAATGAATAGAAGATTTATGTTATGCAGACTACTGCATTTGTGTAGAAATGGTATAAATAATATCAGCGCACTTGTGAAAGAATATTAGACTCACCAGTTGTTGTGTATTGGACATGTGGCATGATTTGTTTACCTTTGAACCTTGGCAAAAATCGAACATTTGCTACTTTGAGCTTAATTTCAAGGTACTTTTCATTGTGAAACCAGTCAAAATCATATCAATTTCCATAATATGTCTTCCATTCTATAAAATGAGACCAGGAAACCTAGAATACAACCATAAATACCATACGAAAATACACTGCAAAGTCATTGTTTTAAACCAAAACCACGGTCGGGATTTTTTTTTTCTCATTATGCACTGTGTGCTGTAGGATTTTTTAATACTGCACACACTGACCACATAGACCCATTCTTTCATATGTAGGCCTACCAGCTTTCTCTCACTAGATTTGAAGGCGCTAGAATTTATGCGTACTAACCAACCCTGAAAGGGTTAAACTGTATATATTATGTAAGACATTTGTAATCATCCAAAGATTTTTGCAACTGTACTTGAATAAACCTACTTATTCTGTGGTGCAAGTAAGTTTATTTAGGCACAGGTACACGTAAATATAATTATCATACAAAGTTTAACATATGTAAATTACCCAGGATAACCCAATAAATCAAAGTGACTTATTTCCAAAGGTTGTATGGTAAAATATATAATTTGTAGATGAATGGTTCAGAGAACCGACATGTTGATAAATTAGACACATGTGCAACTCTTGGGTATCTTTATTGAGGAAACGTTTCGCCACACAGTGGCTTCAACTCAGTCCATACATAGGAGAAACTTGAAGAACAGGAGGAGAATGAGGTAATCAGTCCCTCAAGATTGATGGACTGAACACATCGACTCAAGGTTGAGGGACTGATTACCTCATTCTCCTCCTGTTCTTCAAGTTTCTCCTATGTATGGACTGATGAAGCCACTGTGTGGCGAAACGTTTCCTCAATAAAGATACCCAAGAGTTGCACATGTGTCTAATTTATCAAAATATATAATGCCTAAGTTCTGCCAAGGATCAACACTCAATACAGTAATAGCCAGATAAGGCAACCCTGACATATGGCAAACAGCTTTTCTACATAGAGATTACAGGTTTAAATATTCTATTGTTTCAGTAAACATTAACAGCATTATTACTATTGTTATACTTATATTTAACATTAAACTTTTAACAGTATTAGGCATACATTGTCTTGGGAATGGGAGGAAATTATATCTGATCCAAGGAAATAACACTGAGCAAGTTGACAACTTTTTTTTTCAATTATATTTATAATTCAATGGTATAAAGTCAACAGTTTTTACACTAAATACTTTTGCAATCTTAAAAGAAATTCTATGGCAGTAGCTTTATGCAGGAAAATCTACAAACATTTTATACTGTATTATTATAATCAAGGGGGAAGCGCTAAACCCAGAGGATTATACAGCGCCTGGGGGGGGGTAGGATGTGGAAGGCATTCAGGCTTAATTCGGGGAACTGGAGCACAAATCCAATTCCCCAAATCAAGAGCCCCTCACCAACATCAAGGAACCTTCATTGAGGGGATTTTATACTATAGTATCTACATTTTTGGGACTAAATTTTATGAAAAAAATATTAGGAAACTGCTCTGGTAACCTAGTGTTACCATACTTGTCAATAATGTTTCTTGCAACTGAAAATGATAATTAAATCATAAAGTAACTCTACCAGTTTGTTTTTCAATACAGATATTACTAAATGTATACACTATGGATTTTGCATTAGTATTTATCATATTATAATACTTTTAAAAAATTATACTCCAATTCTATCATATTTACTGTTAATCTGTTCCTGACTCAAAATCTTGGACACTTTTTTCCTAGTGTTAAAAAAAATGGCTGTAGTAGTGAAGTGAAAATGAACAAGTGATATTAGGTTTTAGTGAGAAGAAAAATACTTTATTTAGATTATTAACTCAAGATAACACAACGAGTATAACTTATTTCCACTGGAATATTTTGTAGGTCTACACTTCATGATATAATTCAAATTAATAAGGGATGGAAATTTGTAGTGGGAGGAGGTGTGGTTATGGTGTTGTAGAGATGCAGTTTACCTCAGTAGTTGGACTACAGCTGTGGGATAGAGCATCTAGCACCTCAGTGTTGCTCTGGTGAGAGAGCTGAGCTTCCAGTCTGCAGGTTCTACTGTGGAGCTCTGCTATCACTCTCTTCTGCTCGAAGGTGAAGGCTGGGTGGTGGAGCACCATGGTGTACACCAGCAGCATCTCCCTCATGTAGTTGAGGTCGGTGGGAGGGGCGGTGTGCTGTGCCAGCAGCTGGTACAGCAGAGAGGAGCAGCTGTGGTTCCTGGAGCTCAGCAAGGCTGTGAACACTATCAGCTTGCTGCGCGTCCTCTCCTCTAACAAGTTAGAGAGTTTGCTGATCTCCTGCGTGTTGTTGGCCTTGTATTCAGCTTCCCTGAGGTCGTGGAAGTCCCTCTTGCCGAGGTCTTCCACACATGTGCTAATAAACCTGAGCTCCATGGGTAGACACATGTTCAGCAGGCCACACAGCAACTCCAGGCGGCGGTGTGGCTCATTGTTCTTAAACCACAGACACACTTCATCCTTACACACCATTATGACAACCTCTCACTCTGCCTCACTTGGCCGCCCGCCCACCCTCACACTCCGACAATCTCACCGCTATTTCCACTGACAAACTTCATCTTAATATATAAGTCGCCATTTGCACCCAAATGAAAATGTTCCAACAATGCTGGCCAGCTTAATTATGATATACTTCTTAAAAACACGGAAGTGCCGTATGTGCTACTGAAGCAGCTTTAGTCACCTTCTCTTGAACAACACCTCCACTAGCACAAGTTGTCTGAGTTAACAAATACTTAGATTTTCAACACTAAGTCAAGTTTGGCTGAATCAAAATAAATATTTGAAGAGTGGTGTTCAGGGTTGCCAACCTTGTTGTTGATATTGTCGGCGGCGGCGGCACAGTTCTCAGCCACCGCCTACCATCACTAATATACAACAACAACACATAACGTACTATATTCACCTTCACACACCTTTATTTTTCTTTACTAAATTATTATTTTCTTGAGTGTTGGAGTGTTGTTGTGCCAGGAGGCACCACCACCTCTCTATAACCTAACCAAAATTTGCGAAAAGTTTGACGGAAGGAAAGTTGTGTTGGCAAGCATGATTGTACATAATGTAAACATGGCTGGCTCAGCCACCAGGCTGAGGATTTTGACTCGGATTAAACTTTGTGGGTTGCCCACGCTGCCAGGCCATGGGAGGAGCAACAAGTTAGGCTATATAAGAGTGTACAGTAGACAGCAAGCCACCAACACTACTAGTACTGCTCAGTATTGTCTCCATCTTGTTAAGTGAGTCAACCTGTTATTGTTAGCACTTCCTCTCTTTGATGTTAATAAATCAGTTTATCTTGTTGAAAATGGTATAAAATACCGACAAGTTGAAGATTGAGAAATATGTGCAACAGTTGGATATCTTTATTGATGAAACGTTTCGCCTACACAGTAGGCTTTAGTCAAATACGGAGGCAGCAGGTATAGTCCTTGACTGACCACCTCAAATACTTTTTCTCCAAGGTTGATGGACTGATTACATCATCTTTATTTCACTACTACACCTGCTGCCTCTGTATTTGACTAAAGAAGCCCACTGTGTAGGCAAAAAGTTTCATCAATAAAGATACCCAACTGTTACACATGTCTTCATCTTCAGTTTACCTTATTCCTAGTATATCTTCTTTTATTGTAACTGATTTTCACACAGTTGACTTATTTACCTGTTTTAACGTTTAAGGTTTAAATAATAAGATATTACAAGGACGCCAATGGAATTAAGTCACCTTGACTTTTTTGGGGGTTATCCTAGGTAATTTGCATTATGTATGATAATTGTACCTATTTATTTATTTATTTAGAAATTTTTAGCATACATACAGAGGTACAAAAAAAATACAGGTAAGAGCAGCATGCCAAAGCCACTTATATGCATAGCATTACGGGCTGGCTTAAAATTAACTTAAGATTAACTAAGCAATGATGAAATCAGTGATAAGACATTATTGTAAACAGGTAACTATAAAGCACAAATGAGTATTACAAAGACAGGTCATATGGTTGCATGCATTGCTGTACATTCAGTAGAATGGAGTATTCTGTTAGGTAGTGTATTTAAAAAAATAATAAAGTTAGATTGGGTCCTAGGTTTAACATTTATGTGATATAATTGTGAGTAACATTTTGGATATACAATTTATAAGGTTCAGTTATTCAGTATTTATTTGGTTTTGAGTGAGTAAGTGAACTTTGAGAAGAGACTTGAATTTATAAACAGGTAGTGTTTCTTTTATATTTACAGGTAATGAATTCCAGATTTTAGGGCCTTTTATGTGCATTGAGTTTTTGCATAGCGTGAGATGGACACGAGGAACATCAAAGAGTGATCTGTGCCTTGTGTTATGGTCATGTGTTCTGTTGAGATTGGCAAGGAGATGTTTGAGGGGAGGGTTAATATCAGAGTTAAGTGTTCTATGTATGTAATAGGTGCAATAATAAGTATGGATGTTTTGTATGGTGAGTAGGTTGAGTGTTTTGAAAATTGGTGGAGTGTGTTGCCTGTAGTGAGAATTTGTTATCATTCTAACTGCAGCCTTTTGTTGGGTAATTAGTGGTCTGAGATGGTTAATTGTTGTTGAGCCCCATGCACAAATTCCATAGGTGAGATAGGGGTAAATAAGAGAGCGATAAAGGGCCAGGAGGGCTGACTGTGGAACATAGTACCGTATCTTCGATAGTATGCCTACAGTCTTGGAAATTTTCTTAGAAATTTGTTGTATATGTGTATGAAATTTGAGTCTATTATCGAGGTGGATTCCTAAGAATTTTCCCTCTGTTAGTTTTGTGATAGGTGATCCGTTTATCGTTATGTTAAGAGGTACATCTGTAGCTCTGTTACCAAACTGAATGAAGTAGGTTTTGTCAATGTTTAGTGTAAGTTTGTTAGTCCTCATCCAGGTAGATATTTTCTGTAATTCGGTGTTTACAGTATTGGCTAGCGTGACTGGGCTCGGGTGAGAGAAGACGTATGTAGTGTCATCTGCAAAAAGTGTGGGTTTGAGTAATTGCGAAGCATTTGGTAGGTCATTTATGTATAGGAGAAAGAGAAGAGGGCCAAGGACACTTCCCCTTGGGACACCAACTGTAATTGGTTGTGCAGAAGAGCTTGCCCCATTTGCGTACACATATTGGCTTCTGTTGCTGAGGTAAGACTTGAGGTAGTTGAGGGAGTGCCCTCTAATACCATAGTGTGACAATTTTACGTGGAGCAAGTCATGGTCAACTGTATCAAAAGCTTTACGTAAGTCAATGAAGATCCCAAGTGGGACTTCTTTTTTCTCTATTGCAGTGTATATATGTTCTAGCATGTGTATAATAGCATCATTAGTATTTTTATTAGGCCTGAATCCAAATTGGCAGGGGTTGAGAATGTTTTGGGAGATGAGGTAGGAGTAGATTCGTTTTTGAATTAATTTTTTGAAGATTTTTGAGAGAGGGTGTAAATTGGATATTGGCCTATAGTTATTCAACTCTTTTTGGTCTCCTCCTTTATGGATCGGGGTGACCCTTGCTATTTTGAGAGCTGTAGGGAAGGTGGAGGATTCAATGGATTTGTTAAAGAGTGTTGCAATGTTTGGTGATAGTACTTGTGATGCTTTTTTGTATATAAAGGGTGGTAAGGTATTTAAATCTCCTGCCTTGTTTTTCAGTGCGTTGATAATAAGGGAGACTTCGTATGGGTTAGTCGGAGCTAGGAACAGTGTGTTCGGGTAGTTGCCAGTGAGGTAGTCATTTGGTGGGGTATCTGAGCTTGGGATTTTATTGGCAAGGTTTTGACCTATAGTGGAGAAGAAATCATTGAGTTGTTTGCTGTTTCTGTTGGTGGGAGTTGGGGTTCATCTGATTTTGCTAATTTTATTTCGTTATTCGTGATATCTTTTTTGTTCCCAGAATTTCTGATAGGGTCTTCCATGTCTTTTTTATATCACCTCGTAAGTTGGATAATCTGTTCTCATAATACAATTTTTTTGCCCTTCTTATCAGGCTGGTTAGGATTGACGAGTAACGTTTTGTTTGGTCTCTGGTTATGTGACCCATTCTGTACTATTTTTCATATCGGTGTTTTGTATTTATGGATTTGAGAATGCTGGGTGTTAGCCAGGGACTGTTCAGTCTCTTAGCTGTCATCTGTTTAGTTTTTTTTAGGGCAGTGCTTGTTATATAAGGTATTGGGTCTTTTTTAGAAAATTATTAAAACATTCGTCAATATCTGTATAGATTTCTAGCTCAGTGTGCCAGTCAATGTTTGTTACTGCTGTTGTGAAGTTATTAATGGCTGCCTCATTGTGAAGTCTGAAGGTGACTTTAGTAGTGTCTTGGGGTATTTTACCAAGAGTTGTTATGAGGAAAGTAGGGTAGTGGTCTGTGGTATTATCTGTAATTATGCCTGATTTTAAAGGGGATATGGTGTTGGTCCAGATGTGGTCAAGTAGGGAAACACTAGTCTCTGTAACTCTTGTAGGTTTTGTTACTGTTGGTAGCAACATGCAGTTACTCATTGTGTTTGTGAATTCAGTAACGTGTGGGTCCTGGTCTTGCAGGAGATTTATATTGAAGTCACCTGAGAGTAGTAAGTGATCTTTGTTCATGCATGCATCAGTTATCATACTTCCTAGGTTTTGACTAAATTGGCTAATGTTTGATTGTGGAACTCTGTAGATGTTTATCACTGTGAGAGGTTTTTGTAGGTATTTGGATTTGAATTTAGCTATTATATATTCCCCATGTTCATCCCTTGTGCAAGTATTAGTGATACATTCTAGTTGGTCTGAGTAGTATATAGCAGTGCCACCCCCTTGTTGGTCTGGCCTACAGTTGTGTATGGCTGTGTAACCAGGAATGGCATAGACATCTGTAGTATCAGGCTTTAGCCAGATTTCAGTTAGTGTAATGATGGACATATTGGCATGCAAGGAATTTAGTAATGCTAGGAGGTCATCATAATGCTTGCTTAAAGATCTGATATTGTAGTTAAAGATAGTTATGTTGTTGTTGGCTCTGAGAAGTGCCTTTGATTGTTCTGCTGTGTAGTAATTACAGTAACGGTTTGAATCATTTAAGTCATTAAATAAGAGGTTGGTATCAGGATCAATGCTTGTAATCATAAGATTTGTAGTGAATCTATAGTTAGAATTAAGTAAAAAATAAAGTAAATATTCTGAAGCTAAAAAAAATAGCACCTGAATTATTTAACAAATGTAAAAATAATGAGCTAAGGTAGTTTTTTAAAGCTAAAATAAAGGAGACAATATAAAAGGGACTGAAATAATTTGTGGTGAACAAATAAAGTGATGATCAAATAATGGAGCTTGGGAATATGATAGTAGGTAGTACTTTAAAGGTAATTCTTTAAAGTTAGAATTATAATATAAAATTATAATATAAAAGGGACTAATATAAGTTGTGGTGAACAATAAAGTGGTAATCAAATAAATGAGCTTTGGAGTATAATGGCAAAATAGTGAACTTATTAACTTTAGCACCTGAGAATAGCACCTTGATTATTTTAACAATTGTGAATATATGAGCTAAGGTAGTTATATAAAGCTAAAATAAAGGAAAAAAAAATATATAAGGGACTACAATTAAGTAATGGTAAACAAGTCTTCCTGTGCCTAAATAAACTTACTAGTGACGATTACATCACTGCTCAACTGTTACTATTTTCACAAATATTAGGCCTAAAATATACTGTATTTATTGTATATTAATTGTAAGTTTATTATAACACTTCAGTGGTCATGGAAATATTGGCCAGCACCAATGTCACATCAGCATGGACCCAGTTTAACCCAAGCTAAGTTTTATTCACATTAACTTTTGAGAGTTAGTTACCCAGGATAACCCAGTAAAGCCACTCATCAGTGGCTTATAACTACTGGGATTTTTTAATCTTCTCTCACTCTCCCTCCTTACCTAGGATGTGGCCCACACTAATTGGCTAACACCCAGGTACCTACTTACTGCTAGGTGAACATGGGCAGCAAGTGTAGAGAAAGATGCCCATCATTTCCACTTATCCAGTGACTGAGCTACCAGTTGAGCTACAAGTGATGTCACATGAGCAAGAGGCACTTTTTCCCATAACTATAGGAGTAATGGCAGCTGCTGATTGCATAGAAGTGACCCCCATAAATGTAGTGCTTTTACACTTGAACTGTTGTCTTGTTTCATGATAATTTGGTGACATTTGATAAGGAGACACTTCAAGGGAGGTTCCTTCATGCCAGTGAGGGGCT